AAGTCGTGTCATTCCCCGACCCTGTATGAATGATCAACACAAGGCGCTAAGATTCGAATTTCTAACTTTCTCAAAAAGCACCCAACGGATTGAAGCGAAAAGCATCTCTTTCGACAGGTATATTTCAAAGCGCAAGACAGCTAAAATATTTGTTTCGTGTTTGTTAAAACTTTCGCTCCCCCGCAAAAAACAGTGCAAATGTTTGCATATTTAATTTCGGAAGTGCTGTGTAATGTTTACCAGGTTTGCATGTTCAAGGCGAGGAAAGCTGCTTCTCCGGACTTATCGCAACTTTTCGATCGAGAGAGGTCTCTTTGGAAAGCATTTGCAAAGCGCCGGGCAGGAAAGTCATATTCTATATGTTTATCCTAAGTCTGCTTCGAAAATAAGTCTTGCCATTTCTCTTCATGACTAATTCACATGAGAGGGTCCCTTGCCTTATACTTTTTCATGACGCGTGAATGGGCGTTTTTGCCTTGCGTGAAGCATGAATAAGAATTTATTTTTTCCGTGATTCGTAAATCTATATTTTTCCGTCCTCAGGAAACTGGTTTTTGATTTTTTCGTAATCCGTGAAATATGCATTTACTTACGCGTGATTTGTAAACCAAAGACTTTACTGGGAATAATTTTTCACTTTTTTGGAGATTTTAGAGTCATTAAAGCTCGTTGACTACACCAAACTAGAAGTAAAACCTGCCCAAGGTAGTTTAATCTGTCAGTATCCACACTCCATCCAGCTTTTACTGATGTCTGCTCAGCCATCGCTTCGACATATTTACGGAAATATGTCAACAAAGTGTTAATATGTATGTCGAGATTGAGGGAGAAGTCGAAATGAGTGGAATTAACCGAACTTGCCGAACTACAATAGCGGATAGTCATCTCACGCTCTACCACAAAGGTTTTTCAATTACCCAAGCCACAAAAGATCTAGGCATGCTGATCGACGAGAACAGAGTCTGAAATTACCAAAAGAAAGCCATGTGCAACTATATCTACTACGGCACACTTCAGTTATGTCACGTAAAATGTTTTAATACATTTTTGTGATGATTTTATTTATTTTTTTATTTATTTTTGTGATGATTTATGTTTTGAGAAACGTGAATAGAATTTGTATTTTTAAGTGAAACATGGTTTAGCCTTTGCATTTTCACGTGAAACGTGATTGCTCGCTTTTTTTCTGTGAACGTGAAGCTGTTTTTCGAATTTTTCGTGATGCGTGAAAATAGAGGATATTACATGCCCGCGCGTGGATACGTGGATATCTCACAAGTGAGCCCAGCGAACGAGTGAGATATTGAGTTGAATACGAGAGGATAAAATTCATATCCACAAGCGGGCATATAATATTCTGTTTATTATATAAACATACTAATGACGACGTTTTTAACGATTTTCCGAAGATTTCGACCACTTTCCGAAGATTTCTGAAGATTTTCCAAAATTGTTCCGAAGGCCAGACGAACGCTTCCTAACATTTCCGAACATTTTTCGAAGATTACCGAAGATTGCCGAAGACGACCGAAGAAGATCCGAAGATGTGTCAATCACATATCAACAAATATAAGTGTAGTTAAAGGGACAAAAAAAAAATGTTATCAAAAAGGAATGATATCTTCACAGTGTGAAAGATAAAAATAGTATCTTCACTGCGCGCGATGAAGATATTTTATAGTGAAAGGAAAAATTCTGGTATTTCACTGGTGTTTATATAATAAAGGCCAATTACTTATGCGTGAAACTTCTTTCAGAAGAGGTATAGGGAAAGTCACATTAGCCGCTGACAAGAATTGCATTCCAATAAACACGATCGAAAGTCCTCGAAAAGTACTGAACGCATTAAATCGAAAAACATCTCTTTCGAAAGGTTTTTCAAAGTGCAGGACAGCTAAAATACTTGATTCCCGTTTGTTGGGGCTTTCGCTCCGCAAATCTCGGGAAAATTTTTTTCATATTTAATTTCGAAAGTGCTGTTTAATATTTACCAGAGTTTAGATATCCACGACGAAAAAGCTGCTACTCTGGACCTACCACATCGTTTGGATCGAGGGAAGCGTCTTTGGAAACCATTTTCAAAGTGCGGGCCAGGAATTTATCTTCTATGTGTTTATCCTAAGTTTACTTCGAAAATTAGTCTCGTCATTTCTTCGCATGACTGGTTCACATTAGGCTCCATAGCTGCTGACAAGAATTGTATTCTAACACGCTCTAAAGTCATTTCTCGAAAAGCACTGAACGGCTAAAGGGAAAAACATCTCTTTGTAAAGCTCTTTCAAAACGCCAGACAGTTAGAATTTGTCTTCCTCTGACTTCACGAATTGCGCTCCGAAAATCCAGACGCAAGTTTTTTCTTGTTCATCAAAATAAAACCTTCGATGTTATTACGTCATCTAAACTGGCCAATCAGGTGTCTTTCCTAAAGTAGCCTCGCAGTTTGACGACGTGCTAAAATTAGATTGAAAAAGATTATCATTGGAAGAGGCCCATGTATGGGGATTGGTCTCTTACCTAGGATTGGTTTCACGACACTCAATTGAAACCTAGGGGCGCTTTCCATTTAACTAAGAATTCCGCAATTTTCGAAAAGGGGACCAATAGTGCGGAAATTTCCTGGGAAAAGTTTCAGAAAATCCGGAAATTGTTAAATTTCCGAAAATCGAACCATTCAACTGAACTAGCCTATATACATGCACATTTGAACTAGCCTAGCCATTCATTTAAACCTCACAAGGAATGACTCTTCTAACTCAAATGCAAAAATAAAAAAAAAGGAGGGGGGGAGTCAAGTCAAAAGAGGACCGCACACAGCCTACACCAAGCACCTCGGTATCTCCTTTCTGCCTTGAATGGGTACAATAATGGGTAGAGTTACCAGAGACAATCTCAACAAGAGTAATTTCCGAGTAAGCTTTTCCGCTTTCGAGTTGGACACGACACGCCAGACATGACCTTCGCTGCTAACCGAGCAAGGTGCACTTAAGTATAGATGGTCCTGTTAGGGGATATATAAGCGTTCGTCGGATGCGTTCACGGTTAAGGCTTCTAGTTAATGTTAGTAAAGCCACTGTAACTGGAAAGGGGCCACCAAGTCATAATGCAAGCTCCTTACGTCACGACTTTGAGCGTTACAATTTCTTGGACATTTCATAAATTGGAAGTTTTTAAAAACACTTGAGAAGTGCAAAAATCACTTGGCTGCGCCTTGTGCATCCCTCTGTACATGTACTTTACTCTTGTTCTAAAATAAGGAAATAGCTAACGCACCCGAGTGCACTGTTGCATAAATAATATATTGATAAAATATCAATAGGCATTTCCGATTGGCCCTTTGCCTCCGTATGTAAATGAGTTTATGTATGTAAATGTGCACGTTTATTGCCATGCAAATCACGTGAAAAGATTTGCAAGGGGACTGGCTTTAAGACCAAATGGCATCATCAATGTCGTATCAACTTCTTGTAAGGCCTGGTTCGCACCAGCGACATAACAACATTTATTATAAAGAGATGATTTTTTTTCCGGAAAATACACCACGAACTCATAGGAATCTACATCCGGGACTGTAGTGGCGTGTTTTCCATATCCTCAACGTGAGGATATCGATGACAACATTTTCCGCCATTGCATTGCACGGCTGCCAAACTTTGCATGGTGAGCGACAGGGAAGTTAAATACACTGAAGCCGACAATTAATCGTTCACTAAGGAGCAAATGCCAAAATAGATCGAAACTTCATGTCGCTTAAAACTACTTAAAGGGAACCTCAGCTGAAAAACAATTCTGGCGTAAACAGTGAATTTACCTTTTTGTAAGCCCGTTTTGGTGCTTAAAAGTCGCAGATTTGTTGTTTAATTCGAATGCTCGGCCTTAGATTTGTCAAATTCTGGTGCTTTTTAACTCGCTGCTTGGCGTCATGTTTTTCAGCGCAAAGTTTGCTGGCAGATTATGACGTCAGTGCGTTGTCGGAATTTCAACATGGCGGACTGATGGCGGGATTTTGACTTACGTTGGGATGGTTTAAGCGTGTATATAGTTTAAAGTTACAGATAAATAGGGTAGCATTTCTAATATAACTCTAATTATCGCTTACCAGTATCGTGAAGACTTGAAATGCCGCGTCGTTGCGCATATGGCTGTAACAACGAGTCTAAGAAACAAACTGACACAGCTGGAAGAGGCGAAAACAAAGTTACGTTATATCGGGTTCCGGGAACAGATCAGAGGGAATTAAGAAAGAAGTGACTAATTGCCATTGGCCGGCCCAAAGAAAATTTACCAGTGTCCATATTTGTGTTCTGATCATTTCGATCAAAGCTGTTTGGATGAAGGCGTGGCGGAATAAGTTATTTGGAGGGACAAAACGAAAGTTGAAAGATGACGCAGGTCCTACAATTTTTGCTTACAAATCTGCATCAAAAGTGCGTGCCTCCAGAGTGGTGAGAGCGGCCAAACGGAAGCGTCAAGAGGTGAGAAGAAAATTTGCATTGCTTTGTTTGAACTGAACAAGTTCTTTTATCATGTAATTTATTAAAAGCTGAAATAAAAATATTACATTAATGCATTATCTCGTTGTCTGTTTAATATCCTGCCTTTAATTTATAAAACGTTTTCCCAAAGGTCAGCATTATGTATTTTTCTTTTGGTACCTCGCATCCATTATGAATGCTCATCTCAGTCCTCTCAAACAAGTACAGCACCAAGTTTGAATGAGTATGAGAAATGCCTCAATACTTCTGTTGGTCTAGGAAAATAATCTCAGGGAACTATTAAAATTCTGCCCAAAATGTGGTTCCCCAGTGATCAATAAGGAAACTGAGGAGAGAGAAAATGAAGGGTCGCGATATTCTGTCAGCATAAATTGTTTAAATGGTTGTAACTTTACCTGGCAAACACAACTTTCTATTCCTGGAGTCAAGGGTAAAGGGAATCTGGCTTTAACTGCAGGATTATTTTTCAGTGGCGCACAAATTTCAAAATTTCAGCAGTTTGTTTCTATGGTTAATTTGAAATCCATTGGAAAAGATTGCTACTATGCCTTAAGAGAAAAGTATGTCTTCCCTGTTACTGATGCTTGCTGGGAGACAGAACAAAACAATCTAATTAACACTCTAAAAGACAGGAGGGAGCCAGTGACACTAGCCGGAGATGGCCGCTGTGATTCTCCAGGCCACAGTGCTAAGTATAGGACTTACACAACGTTGGATGTTCAAAGTGACAAGGTTGTAGACTGTCAGTTTGTGAAGTAAAAAACTCAAATGTTATGGAAAAGAAAGGTCTTATAGAAACACTAAAAAACATTGAGGAGGCAGGAGTGATTGTGGCCGGTGTCAGTTTCAACTGATTCTCATCCCCAAATTAAGAAATATATGAGAGAGGATCAAAAAGATAAGAAATTCCATATTGATGGATGGCATGCCTGCGAGAATGTCCAAAAACAACTGTCAGCATCCTCAAAAAAGAAGGGCAGTGAAAAGTTGAGTCAATGGGTTCCCCCAATCACAAATCACTTTTGGGGAGTATCGAGACTTGCCAGGGGAATGCAGAAATCCCGAAGGAGAAGTGGTTGTCAATAACAAACCATGTAGTA